AGATAAAGGCATATGAATGACTGGTGTTAAGGCCATATAAAGAATGACTTGAAAGTGTCAAGCATACTTCTTGAAAGAGGAAAATGCTTGCATTCGAAAGTGAAGGGCATCATAGGACATGATATACTTTTAACACGAGGCTAAACTAAAGGAATTTAGCCAAGGAGATGATCAATCAATAATCATGATGACTAGTCAGGTCTAGTGACATGCTGACGTAAAATGATATCTAATGCCCTTATGGCTTCTTATTATTTTCTTAAATTCTTGCTGGTAGACATCATTTTTTTCAGCATTTTCCAGCCAACATTGTTCCTAGGATTGCCTCTATTGGAAGGTTTCTTTCTTTCCTTCAAGACAATCGTAGCAACTCTGGTCACCGGATGGCATGATATTCCTTCATTACACGAGAACTTTTACTTTGCACCGTACCATCGTCCAAATCTTAAGCTTATGTCTTATGACATACTTGTGGCATCACCGTTCCTATGTTTCTGATACTTCTCGTTCCCTGGGGTTCCATTCCCCTTAGGTATAAGCTGAATGCGTCCTCCAAGCAATCTTTATTCTCCATTCCCGAGTACAGGTCCTTAGGTATTTACTGGGGAATCCCGCCATGGTAAAGAATGCAAAAGCAGATGACCTTATAGGTATTACTTGCGTATTGTCTGGACCTATTTGTAGCGATCTCCCATGCATTGAAAACGTTTGTGATGGGATTTTGAAGCTACAGGGACTTCTGTTCTCGAGAGGTCAAGGCTAGCGCCATAGAAGAGAATAAATGTCTTATCCAATACTCTTAAGGCCAGTAATTATGGTACTGAATTTACTCTCCGTTCGTGTGGCATTTTGATCAGCCCTAGCTTCGTGCAGGTCGTGATTCGTGTCCCAGCATTAAATTGGAGACATTTCCTCGATTATTGATTGATCATCTCCTTGGCTAAATTCCTTTAGTTTAGCCTCGTGTTAAAAGTATATCATGTCCTATGATGCCCTTCACTTTCGAATGCAAGCATTTTCCTCTTTCAAGAAGTATGCTTGACACTTTCAAGTCATTCTTTATATGGCCTTAACACCAGTCATTCATATGCCTTTATCTTCTAACGCATGATAAGTGTGATCTTGTGATCTGATTATCCAACTTACATTACTTGTCAAGATTCAGTATGCCTTGTGCATTACCAATCTCGAATCTCAAACTCGGTTTTCCACACTTATAGATAATCAAATCAAACGTCAAGTTAGTGAACTCCATCGATCGAGGATCCTTATCCTAACAAGGTAATGTTTTTCTTCTCCACTCTCTTCAGATGAATTGGGATTTACCTAATATCTCTAGAACGTTCTTTTCTGTTGATAGTATGTCCAAGCCGTTATTATAAACTGGCATCCTACTCTAGATGCCTATGAGAGTATCTCTTGATTCTGATAAGGCTTCCAACTTCTGTACGCGTAGATCTTCTAACTTCCAATTGATTGGAAGTCAATCCATTCTCAAGATCTTTCTAGAATTTGTTCTCATCGATACCAGTGGTAAGAAAATTCAATATGACACTGGTATGGATTAGGTCATGTAGACTTGGAAAAGGTGAATCCCCTGTACTGAATTGAAGGCAGAACAGAGGGGTCCTTACTCAAACGAACTATTACACAAAGTTACCCTCGTATAATCCATAGCTCATATGGTTTGCTCGAGGAATATTTGGAATCCTAACAATGCATCATATGACAAGTAGAGTCAGAGTCACTACACTGACGTGGATGGCTTAGCATCCTTAGTGACCCACTTGATGACAACTACCAAAAGGTGTCATATGCGCGATTTCCTATAGAAGGATTTGAAAAACATTTCAAAACTAGTTTGAAAACCTTTGAAAACAATTTTTCTGATATCAGTTGTTACGCAAATTCCTTTCCCTTGGAAAGAACTGCTCTGATACCATTCGCTGTGACACCCGAAACCCGTGTCCCGCGAAAACCACGAGTTGCGCCACATGGACAAAAATAAAATAAATACAATTACCGAAAATACGCGGGATTTAAGAATTCTCAATTTATATACATATGCAGCGGAGACAAATGCAATTACGGTAGTGTAACTATCGGAAAATACAAAACTCATAAATCGACACTACCAATCTTTTTGGAACAGAAATCTGCGTAACTCCAACCTAAATCTTCTCGGTCTTCCTCCTCACACTCCTGGCGCTACTATGTCCATCCAACGCTCCTCTTTGCGCTATCTCGAGCTGAAACGTTGCATAACAACGTCCTAAGCTACATGCTTAGTGAGTACTTCGGGTTAAACCCGAAGATCATACTCAAATGGCAAATGGCCAAACACAATCAATATTATACATACACTAGATATAAGTGTATACATATATACACACTTCATGCCAGGAGGTTGTCAGTTGTGTACTGACTTCGCTCGACATAGTCGGTGGTGGCCTGGAGTAGGCACCTGGCGTTCTGGTATCGAGAGGGGACATCGGTATCAGAAGGGATGGTTGATGTATTATGTTTTATGGAGTGGGGTATTGGGTTGACATGTTTTTATTGTTCCGGCGATTGCCGAGGAGAGCGGGGGATGTGCGTTGCACATGGAGCGTCCTTACCCACGTGTGTGATGCACACGTGGAGATGATTTGACGGTACGGTTATTACTGAGAGACCCGATGGGTCGAGCTATGACTTGTGTACATATGTCCTGGACTGGTGAGACCAGATCCTTGCGGTATCCTATGTGTGCGATGCACATAGAGATGATTTGACGGTTAAGTCCGATGACTTGTCAAGCTCTGCCCGTGGGCAACCAATCACAATCATGTCTCCTCAATATGAAACCCGACCCGGGTCAGAGATCATAAAGAGGAGATCCCAACAATGCAACCATCGGGATATCACCTCAAACCCGCTACAATCACACGCTCAACCTTATCCCGGCCCTCCGGAATAAAGTCTCACGCCATGCCAACTACCCGGTTCCCCAATCACACACATTCATATATTATTATACTTACTCGGGTATACACACATCCTTACTTGTTATTTTGGGTTATCTCGTTTCCTTTACATTCATTTTATTCTTTTTATCCTCCGATCCGATCAAATTGGTTCCGACCATTCTGGATTACCAATTCATCTCGTTCCGAAGGTTTTACTTACCGTAAGTCGGTTTCATTCAAGTTTCATGAGGTTCGGGTAGGAAACGGGTCTAGGTAGGTCACGTATAGGGGTCGGTTGCATCGAATTTCGTTCGGTCCGAAAGAACGAACCAAAACGGGGAGACAGGTGTCCAGAACGGACGGTCTGCCCCGTCTGGAACGGACGGTCTAGTGGCTTGGTCCCTTCGGTCTGGCCGAAGATGGAACGGACATTCCGCGAAAGGTGGAACGGACGTTCTGGGTACAGAACGGACGGTCCATGTCCAGAGCGGACGGTCTGGACTCGTCTTCTTCCCCCGAAACCCTGCGAACCCTAGAACGGACGGTCCATGCCTGGAACGTTCGGTCTAGGCGCACCAGGAACTTCGGGTTTCCAATTTTTGCACCAAACTCAACAAGTTATACATAAAAATGATCCCTAGAACATCAGGAATCCAAATCTAACACCAATTTCATGCAATTTCCACTCAAAGCAATCAAATCTCCATTTTCAATTTGATTATCATTTTTGGGCATAATCCGAAACACTCACTTAGCTCAAATTCGAGCTTGGGGTTTCGTTTGGGATGTTCTGTAGGGTTTGATTGCTGTGTTTATTTGTTGATTTCGACCGAAATCGGGACTCCAATCGAAGGTTGAAGTTTCGGACTTTTGAGAGAGTTTGTGGGGGTTTCCAATTTTTGCACCAAACTCAACAAGTTATACATCAAAATGATCCCTAGAACATTAGGAATCCAAATCTAACACCAATTTCATGCAATTTTCACTCAAAGCAATCAAATCTCCATTTTCAATTTGATTATCATTTTCGAATTTAATCCGAAATACTCACCTGTGTCATTTCTGAGCTCTGGGGTTTGTTGCTGGGGTTTCCTAGTGTTGATTTCTGAATTTTCTCGTCGATTTCCATGCGAAATGAGCTCCGATTTGAGAATTCTTAGTCTGAGCTCGCAAGAACACGAGGGAGAGGGTTAGAGCGAGCTGTAGGCTGAGTGTGAGCAGAGTGAGAGAGTGAAGCTCGTGTAGAAGAGATTGGCCGCCTCTGAGTCAAGCAGGAGGTGTCAAACGCCGGTGAAACCTCGGAATTCCGGCGGTCTCTCAGCATGGAGAAGAGGCGACGCGATTTTTCTCAGTCTCACGTCGTCAGGCCGGACGGTCCGGCTAGGCAGCCCGGACGGTCTGCGTCTCCCAGACCGGACGATCTGCTTCCCAGACCGGACGGTCTGACCAATCTTCGCCCGTTTTTCTCGCTCGTTTCGGTCCAATCCTTCGGGTCAACTTGGTTAGGTCTGATTCTATGTTCTTGAGCATTTCTCCGGCACCTAAACGATCCTCTAGGATTTGGTGCGGAGAAGAGAAACTCTCGGGGCATTATATTCCGTTGGAATAGTCGATCTTCTTTTCCTTGCCTCTTCTTCGTTCGGCTCGGTTGTTTCACGTTAAACCAATTCGCCCGAGCGGCTTCACGTCGTGGTCTATTCCTCGTTAATCCTGTTAACGAAAATTAAGGGCTTATCGCCTAATCATCTCATTTCCATTGATCAAGCGTCGTCAATTTCGGTTTATATCTCTCTAATCCTTTTACCGAAATTCGGGGTGTTACACCTGTACAATTCAACTCGACAATGAACTCCGCACTCTCACCATCGGAGATCAATCCGTCCACCGTCCACCAATACTGCCAACGGATCAAAAAGATATCAGATCTTTTGACCAACCTCGATGCATCTGTATCTGAGAGAGCTTTAGTTATGCATACACTTAATGGCCTTTCTGACAAGTTCGATAACATTGTTAATGTTATTCAACACCAGAAACCTTTTCCATCTTTTGATGAAGCAAGATCGATGTTATCCCTTGAAGAACAACGTCTTCTCCGACATCGTCGTCCTGAGCCGACTCATAGGGATAATGGCTCTGCCCCCACTGTCCTCTTCACCGGATCTCATCCAAATCAAGCTACGATGCATTCACAACCATCATATCATCACCGCAACCGATCACGAGGACGAGGAAATAGAGGCAATCGGGGGCATCGCAATAACGCTCAAAGCTGGAACGTCGGGTCTTCACCGACACAGTGGAAATCACACCACCCGCCGTCATCTTCGATGCAATGGAATCCTCCACATCCTATTCACTCATACATGCCACCGTGGAATCCCACAGGATATCCATCACATATCCCTTGGCAGTCTCCTTATGGTGGACCCTATTCACCATACCCATATATCCCCAGTGGCATCGTCGCTTCTTCTGGTTTCTCCTCTGGTGTCACATCGCCAACACCGACCTCATCGCCACAGACGGCTCTTGTGACTCAAACCCAACCTACAGTACCGGATAATGGCTCGATACCCACTTCATTTACACCTCCGCCAGGTCTTATCCAAGCGTTTAATGCGACGCACATCTCTGATCCCGCCGACGCATCGTGGTACATGGACACTGGTGCCACCACACACCTGACATCGCAACCAGGTACTCTCGAGACCACTTTTAATTTGAGCATCATCCTATCTGTTTATGTCGGTGATGGATCCCAAATCCCTGTCACTCATACTGGCCATACTTCTATTCACACACCTACCCATGCATTTCACCTAGACCACGTGTTAGTCTCACCATCTATCGTCAAAAATCTCATTTCGGTTCGACAGTTTACTCGTGACAATAATTGTTCGGTTGAGTTTGATACTAATGGTTTTTCGGTGAAGGATCGACGAACACAAATGGTACTGCTCCGATGTGATAGCTCGGGTTCCCTCTACCCTATGTTACCCACCATACCATGCGCTCGGCACTCCACCATTCCTTTTGCTCTTCTTACTCCGGGTTCCACTTGGCATCAACGTCTTGGACACCCTGGAGACTCGGTTTTTCGTTCTTTATTGTCGAGTGGATTTTTTCGTTGTAATAATGACAATGCACGGATTTGTCATGCTTGTCAACTTGGAAAACACACTAGACTACCTTTCAATAAATCTCTTTCATTGGCTCAATCTTCGTTTGAAATCATTCACTCTGACATTTGGACTTCCCCTATACCCAGTATTAGTGGTATTCGCTATTACGTTTTATTTCTTGATCATTTTTCACATTTTGTCTGGGTTTATCCTCTTCACCGTAAAAGTGACGTTTTTGCCAAATTTTTACACTTTCACTCTTTTGTACGTACACAATTTAATAAAAACATCAAAGTTTTTCAATGCGATCACGGGAAGAATTTGATAACACGGCTCTTCGGGATTTCTTTGACTCTCATGGGATTTTACCTCGTTTTTCTTGTCCTCAAACATCCCAACAAAATGGAAAGGCTGAGCGCATGATCCGCACCTTGAATAACTTAATTCGAACTCTTTTGTTTCAAGCCTCCATGCCATCGACCTATTGGGTCGAAGCCCTACACACCGCCGTCCACCTTATCAACATCTTACCATCGGTATCCGTCGACAACCAAATCCCGTTTACATTACTTCATCATAAACCTCCTTCGTATGACCATCTCCGTGTCTTCGGATGCTTATGCTACCCTAACCTTCTTGCTACATCGCCTCATAAACTCTCACCTCGGTCCACGCCTTGCATTTTTCTTGGATACCCGAGCCATCACAAAGGTTTTCGGTGCCTTGATCTTATCACTCGAAAAATCATTATCTCACGACATGTGATTTTTGACGAGACTAGCTTTCCTTTTTTCACCCATGGATATCCTTCCAATAACCACTATGAGTTTTTGGATCAACCCGAAGACCCGTCACCCATCCTTCGCCCTCTTCTCCAAATGCCAATATAGCCACCACCATATAGACCCATCGAACCTATACAACCACCTCGTCTCCACTCTATGACCACGAGGAGCCAACACGGTATTTCCAAACCGAAACATATACCAAATCTTCACACTTTTACCATCTCACACGTCCCTAAGACCCACACACTAGCCCTTGCGGATCCTCATTGGCGTGAAGCCATGCAAGATGAGTTTGATGCTCTTATTAAAAGTGGTACTTGGGTCTTGGTTCCAAGACCACCGGATACTAACGTTGTGCGTTCTATGTGGCTGTTTAGACATAAATTTCATGCAGATGGCTCCCTCGCTCGGTACAAGGCACGACTTGTGGCAAACGGCAAATCTCAACAACAAGGTATCGATTGCGATGACACCTTCAGCCCTGTCGTTAAACCGACAACCATACGCACTGTTCTCAGCATTGCCGTGTCGAAATCTTGGCCAATTCATCAATTAGACGTCAAAAATGCTTTCCTCAATGGTGATCTCAAAGAGACGGTATATATGTTTCAACCGCCGGGTTTTCGGAACTCTACTCATCCAGACTATGTGTGCCGCCTACAACGGTCTTTATACGGTCTCAAACAAGCTCCTCGTGCATGGAATCAACGCTTCACATCATTTGCCTTCAAGCTCGGATTCTCACAAAGTCGCAGCGATACATCTTTGTTTGTGCTTCGCCAAGGCAATGAACAAGCAATGCTCTTGCTCTATGTGGACGACATTATACTCACTGCCTCATCTAATCGGCTTCTCAATCAGATTGTATTATCTCTCAAGACTGAGTTCGCCATGTCTGATTTAGGTCCCCTTCATCACTTTCTTGGAATCACGGCCGAGAAGAACTCTATCGGGTTGTTCCTTCACCAGTCATCTTATGCTGCGAAAATTCTCCGACGCGCAGGTATGGAGTCTTGCAACCTCTGCATCACTCCGGTAGACACTAAACCTAAGTTATCCGTCGATACGGGTGCACCGGTGGCTGATCCAAGCTTGTTTCGTAGTATTGTCGGGGCACTTCAATATCTCACTTTTACAAGACCAGACATCCAATATGCCGTTCAACAACTTTGTTTATTTCTACATGCTCCACGGGAACCGCATCTCCAAGCTATGAAGCGAGTTCTTTGCTATATTCAGGGGACCATTCACCACGGCATTCAACTACGTCCTAGCACCACGTCGGAGTTAACGTCGTATTCCGATGCGGATTGGGCTGGTTGCTCGGACATGCGTCGTTCCACCTCGGGCTATTGTGTATTCCTAGGTGATAATCTCATTTCATGGTCTTCCAAGCGTCAACCCACGGTTTCTCGGTCAAGCGCTGAGGCCGAGTACCGAGCTGTTGCCAATGTCGTCGCATAAACTTGCTGGCTACGTAATCTCCTCCTCAAACTACATTGCCCTCTCTCCCACGCAACATGTGTGTATTGCGACAATGTATCCGCTGTATACCTTTCCACGAACCCGATGCAACATCAACGGACTAAACATATCGAGATTGACATCCACTTTGTTCGGGAAAAGGTCGCTCTTGGCTCCCTCCGAGTCCTACATGTTCCATCCTCTCGTCAGTTTGCCGATATCTTCACGAAGGGTTTGTCCACTTCACTCTTCATGGAGTTTCGATCCAGCCTTTGCGTTCGGTCACCTCACGCTACGACTGCGGGGGAGTGTTAGTGTATCCCTTAATATCTGTTAGTATATTATATAATATTATCATATCTCTCTAGATATACTTGTCAATATCTCCATATCTTTCTGGAGATTCTATCGATGTATTATATAATATTGAGATTAATGAGAATGGATGACACAAAGGATTTTACCAAATTACATTATCGTCATCCTAAAAAAATGACAAGCAAAGAAGAAATATATATGACTGCTAAAACGTATGTATTATACTTAAATAAAAATGTGGTAATAAGTATTTATTAACCCACTAATGGGAAAAAAAACGGCAACACAATTATTCAATACCCACTAATCCACTAATGACTACACTTATTAATAGAATAAATAAAAATTATTATAATTTCAGATTATATTTAAGTCTAATTCATATTTAGCCGGCTATAAAGTCTCTTATGATTGTGGATCTGAGTAAAGCCAACTCTTTCAACAACAAAGCAATAGTCTTGCAAATCAATAGCATTTGTGATCAAGTCTCATCAAGTAAGTATCTCACAATCAATCTATATGATTTAACATGTGTTTGTGTATCTCTTTCTATATATGTGATATAATAAAATATAAGATCAATCATTTCATGCTTTGTTTTCTACAGAACAAGTGATTTACATCATTATTAATTTTAGTTAATGAAAAAGATATTTTGCAAAATAAGGACAAGTGGATCACAAATAAAATGAGCAATGACGAATTGCACAAGAAAAAGCAATGGACAACCTCATGTGCAAACCAATATAACGAGATATATGCGGTAAAAAATGTATACAATCAAGTAAATGTCTTTATTTTATCAGGTAAATATATCTATTCATATTTTCCGTTTGATGAAGGTAACAAAATCAACATTTTTACATGTGGACGGATAAAATTGCAATAGACAGCGTCATTTTTTTTCTATGTCCCAAAATGACTTATCACCCATATACAAAATTTACCCCCTAACCTTTTTCGCCATCTCCAGATCTATACAAGAGCATATAAAGTTGAAGGTAGAATCAAGATGTATCATCTTACCAATCCATTGAGTCTTACAGATAAAGGGCATTTATCCAAAGCATCCAACACACTTGAGTAGTTACTCTGATTTTCAGATTGGGAAAACATCTTGGTCATTTGCTCAATTTTTATTGGTCATTTGATACGTTTATTATTTTGATAAATCCACATCATCTTCCATCTTATCATTTGTGTAATTTCCATTGTGCAATTAAAATATTTATAGCCGATATATAATTTGTCACTATAGTTTACACTAAAATAAATAATAAAAATACACAAACATTATAGTAAAACAGTATCATAAATAAAAACTAATATATATGATTTTACATTACAATATAATCTAATAAAAATATATTTTTCCACATCAAACAAATATTCTATGTTCTATATATATTCCAACGTTAATTAGATATTAATATACCATTCAAAGTTTTGACATCAAATAATAAAATTTTTATAAAAATATATAATTATTTTTAATAAAATATATAGAGTAATTTTTTAATATAATCATTTTAACTATCTTCTTGAGAATAATATAAAAAAACTTAAAATATGATATATATTTTACAACAAAAGTATATTAATTTTTAAATTATTATATATTTTTGTTATATATTTCTAATTTTTATAATTTAAAAACAAATTAAATTGACTTAATAAAACTTATATATAATCAATTTTACCATTTATTTTATTTTTTAAAATTCTATTTATATATTTTTATTTCTCTATTTTGCTGCGCTTCAAGATTAATTGAAAACCTCTCCATAATAGATTCCAAACATAGATAAAGTTTAGTTAATAAAGTATATTTAGATTGTTTAACATGAAACATTATTATTGTTATGTGAATATATGTTTAAAAAAATAATAAAATCCAAACTATTATATTAGTTAAGCATACATTTCTTTGTGAAAAATATATATATTATATTGACATATTGTATTTAATGCATATATAAAAATAATTTTATAATATAATAATACAATGATATTTATATTCTTTTATTTTTTTAATTCTTTAGATATATATAAATATAATTTTTGTTATATTCATAAAAATATTTCTCCATAGCAAAAAAGAAAATATTTTATATTAACAACAAAAAAGAATAAACCATGCATCATCTTCCACCGTATCATCCATGTGGCAATGTTAAAAATTTTTATTGGTTATTTAAAATCTTCAATACCTACATATAATTTAATTAAATTAATATTAATGTTTATTTTTTGAACGAGAAAAATAAGTGTTTAAAAAAATTAGGTGATACATATAACAAAAAATTAAGTAAAAATATAACAAAAAATTAGGTGGACTCACGAAATTAGATGGAGGAAGGACGGTCGCCCAGTGGAAAGATATAACAGAGGAGTAAACCCCGGTGGATGATGCTGATATCGAAGAACTCGACGAACTAGACATTCTGTCATTTTCGATAAGTAAAATATTACTCTATAATTTTGTAAGTTTATATTTATTGTAAAACATTTTAACCATTTTGGTGATTTAAATAGAATTTAATATTATTATTATTTAATTTATTAATTAAAGTTTGAATTGATGTGTTTGTTTTAGATTTTTATGTGAAAACATGATTTGTGTACATGGTGTGTATATATATATTGAATAAATGATAATATTATGAGTAATTAATTTCAAACTTACTGATTATAATATTCATTCTTATCAAAGTTATGAATATCGCTAATAACAAACTTCATAAACTTAGTCATTTTTCATTCAATTTATTATTATTTTTAATAAAAGATAAATTAAAAATTTTAAATGTATATAATAAAATTGAAATTGAAGTTGAATCATTTAAATCGACAACTATATGTTATACATACAGGATGTGTATGAAGAAATAATGTCTGTATATATGTATGTATATATGTGTGTATATATATGTGTGTATATATATAATATGTAACTATGTATATATATGCGTAGCAATAAAAACACTCAATATATGCAATATATTAATATTTATTTATTTTTATCGTTCACATATATAATTTTATAATGATTTAATTTTATAAATGTATTTTTTCCCTAAATAAACAAATAATGCATGACATATTTCACTAAATTTATCTCAACAAATATTATAATTAAAATAATTACCAAAAATTCCTCTTTATTACATTAAAAATCTATTTGGACCTTATTTTTTAAAAATCGAGCATCATGGATCGAAATCCATACTAATCTCGAGATTCAGAGCCAGCCATATGATTCGAATTCAGAACGGAACAGATACTTTGAATACTATTTCACCGGTTAAGCTATCCAAATTCGGTATTTTGATCTTAACTTTTATATATCATTATGATTTTTATTTGATTAAAAGAAAATGAAGATACATATTTTGATCTTATTAGATATTGTTTAATAAGTTTTGGGGGGTGACATTTCGGTGTATTGTTCAAGATGAAGTTTTACAATTTATGATTCAAAAGAAAAGTTGTAAACTTTGATCTCGAAGTGGAGAAAGAAGAAGTTTTTATAGGTATATGGTCTGTGAAGCAAAGTGTGCAGGTAAAATCCTCAATTTTTTTTTGTTGTATTATAATATAATAGCGATGGTATAAGTATGTAGAAGTGAATGTTCAACGTATACAAAGAATTGAAAAATGGTAAAATATAACATCTTTATATAGATGAATGTAGATCGAAACATTTTATATAAATTTTTTTTTTAAAATATTATGTATATTTTATTATTCTAACATTTTCCATTAATATTCAATTAAAAATATTGAAATAAAATTTTTCGCATAGTGAAAGGAGAAATAGGGTAAGACCAGCAATGACTATACATGCATTTTTCAAAAAATATATATGAATAATTTTATATTATAATAATGTAATGATATTTAAATTTCTTCATTTCTTCATATATATATATATGTATATATATATATATATATATATATATAAAATTACACTACTCTAATGTTTTTTTCATAACATCAAAACAAATATATTACAATAATAATAAAAAGAATAAACCGTGCATCGCGCGAGTCTTATCTAGTCTATATATATAAAAGTTAGATTTGGAGAGATTTGGTGAATCCATGTCCTCATCCATGTGGCATTTTGTTTTTAATCTTTTATTTATCATTTAAAAACTCATTAACTACATATCAATTGGTTAGATTATCACTAAACTCTATATATAAAAATAATTATTATTTAAAATTATAAAATGCATATTACAAAAAAAAGGAAAACCCACTAAATATTTAGGACACATAAAAAATATTTTAACAAAAGCATTTTCATCATATGTGACATTTATTTTAATTTTTACACTACAAAAAAACTGCGAAATTCCAACGGATTTTTCCAACGGATTAATCCGTTGTAATTTTTCCAACGGATTTCCAACGGGATACCGTTGGAATAATTCCAACGCATTTCTAACGGATTTCCAACGGACGTCTAACGGATTCATCCGTTAGAAATCCGTTGGAAATGTCCAACGGCATATCAACGGATATTTGAGTTGAAAATTTTCCACGTATATTCCAACGGCAATCCGTTGGAAATAACGTTTGACGAATTTCAACGGCAATCCGTTGAAATTATTCGAACGTTATGAAA